TTTTTCATTTAATGATAGAAAACAAGATTTGTCTAGGAACTTAAATCTATTAATACATATTTTCTAAGTAGGAAAAAAGACTAGTTTAATTGCTGTCGATCATGATTCATGTAGTACGGATGAAAAAAAACGATACTTACATCTTGAGAAATATGATTAATAGTATGAAAGCATAGCGATTGATCGAAATAGATCCCATTGTAATAGGTGCATTGCGAGAGAATAAATGATCAAAAATAAGTATTCTTCACTATAGAAAATATTTGAATATATTGCATAAAGAAAGCGTTCAAGGAATGCATCGATAATTATTGATATAATTCGAGATTTTTTAAAATGTTCATTATCAACATGTTACTTTCATGCATTGAAATTGTTGATGCACTGAATTAAACGTACAAACGATCAGATATAGTTACTGCTTTGCCTGTGAACCATAAGCATATCTTTTTTCATTCTGAACTTGATAAATAAATTAGTCTAAAAATGTGTTGAAACGGTTCAAAAATTAAAGTAATATAGTAGAGAGAATTTTCGGAATCACTTTATTTTTAATGCAATGCACGATTAGAGTCTGTTTGAAAGGGCTAAACATCTAGCATGAAAATATTGCGAAGAATTTGATTGGAAGTGTTTTCTGAAGGTTAAAAAGACTCATATGAAGAAAGGTAGCAAGTAGAAAAACTTTTACAACTGCGATTATAATTCATGCATTGAAATAGTTTTTTTGACCTTTTTCATGATCGGCTTTCGATAGTTTTTGTTTATTATATGCAAATATTCATTACAGCGACAGCTTTCCTGTGATATAAACATTATGAGTCTGACGCACAAGAGACTGGATAAAAACTCATTTAATTATCGACTCAAACGGAAGTTTATAATATAAAAGATTGTTTTTAGAGCTAAGAAAAAATATAAACAGGTTGCTTCCGTGAATGCATTTTCTAAATTAAAATCGTTCCTGAAAGATATATTTTTAACATTCACTTAAGATTTTCGATCGAATTATTGCAACGCAAGTTTTGTTCTTTCTAAGAAAAAATCGACTAGTCTTTGAGATATTACAATACAGAATCCATCTATCGTGAATATGGTGACAGCGAAAGACAGAAAATATGAATCAACTATCGTGCTAAAATTGACATTTTTCCGGAAATAACTCGTAGTTTTTATTAGCAAAATCATAGATTTAATCATACTTAAGTTTTAGCGGTGAATAATAGTAGATGCATATTGAAAAGAGAAACATGTTTACAGTAATAAGGAATCATATAAGAACAAACAGAAGCAAGAGTAACTGCTTACTTAGTTACGTAGCGTGAATGGCGATACTTTTTGCATGCTATTCACGTAGGATAGAAATAAATTCGTGATTCATCTGGCAAGTTCCAGCTTCACCGAATAAAATGTTAACCGATAAATATCGAATAAAATCTGACCCATTCTAGATCTAGAATTTGATCCTAACTAACTAGTTTAATAGTGACTCGATTAATTAACCCCATCTAACGTCGTTACCATCTGAGTTGGTAGCAAAGTCAATTAATTATATTGCTTCGCTCAGACAGATGCCACCAGGTGTGCATCGTGGGTTACCATGCCAGATGGTTACCGAGTTAGATCGGGCTAATTAATCGAGCTATTATTAGACTAGTTAGTTAGAATAAAATTCTATATACCTAGAATAGATCATATTTGATTGGATATTTTCGGTTAAAATTTTATTCGGCGAAGCTTCAGTATCTCAGGCATCCTGACTCATATGCGTGTATGTCTCGCATTTGTTTGATATTTAATGTTTACACAATAGCGCGACGTGCATATTTTCAAATAAGCCACAACATGCCTTTTCTTCTTCTGAGAAAATTTCTCGCTATTGTCAAAAAATTGCAAGCTTAATTTTAGGTTCTATAGATATTTCAAAGGACACTTTCTACTATCGGAGGTTTTTACTAAGAAAAGTAACGGTGAAATTGATTCATAAATGATGAACACACACATATACACGTGTGTAAACTTTGTTTTTTCTTTATTTTTTAGCGGTGAAACGGACGAGAGCAAGATAATAACTCTGAAGAGAAAGTAAAACTCCTAAGAAGTTTCTTCCTCGTTCGTTCAACTATTCAAAAAGAAAAAAAAGAAGACACGTTGACAGAAAAGAGACACTTTACTATAGAAAATATAGAAAAAGATTACTATAATTTTAAGACATTTCTAATATCTTCAATTTTTTTATCCAGAGATTTTCTCTAAGAGAATCAAGTCATACATCAATAAATGTTGAATTTTATGCTCTATTTGTTGGATAAAACATATTTCGTAACAGAATTTCGACCGTTACAGTTCACTTCCTGTGCATTAGCCACTGCATTATATTCGTGTGCTCGTGGATTTATCTTGTGACTCTTCTTCATAGTTTTATTGTATGATCGTTTTCTGTTTGTTTCTGCCCACTGATATACAATCACTCTCTGCTATTTAAGCAAATATAACCGAAGGAAGTGGACGACTAGAGACGTACAGATAGGCATAGGCGACACTCTCGCTTCTCGGTATAGTGAAGAATCATCAATTTACGAATTTCTTTTTTTTTCTGACCAAAACTCAAGCTTAGAATTTTGAATTAATATCTGTTTCTCTACAACATGAGACCCTACCTACTTCTACATGAAACCTATAAAAATTTCGCAAAACCTATAAGTTTTAGCTCGCACATTTGAATCTTGATAAAATTATCTAGCCTATAACTTTCGACCGCTCGAGCATCAACTTTTCGGACATTTCTCATTTCCGCGAGGTAAAAAGACTCTAAATCCAAATCCAGAACAATAATTGTGGGCTTGACAGAGAAATGTGAAGAATATCATGTGGTGGTGAATTTAATTCTCTATAAAACAGAAATGAATTCAAATTTCTAAACTTGAGTTTCGCTCAAAAAAAAAGTTCCTAGATTGATCACTCATCATCGAATATTTTGAAAACTTCCATCTTGAAGACAATATTTTTGGTCACAATAACTAGATCGTTTTGTTCAATTGTAGTTGTTCTATCTTATCCATTAGTTTATTATTCAGCTTTATTGTTCTACTCACTTTGAAATTGCATAATTGGCTATGGCCAATCGAAATCGAATTTTAGAATTCTAGTTTCATGCCGGATGTAATGTGTTTTACCCGAAATGCAGAGCCCAAAATCCTGTATCGATTAGTATATGACTGAACTTTTCTAAAGAAAATTGTTCGTTCTACAGAGTGAAAAATACTAAAAATGTCTTAACATTATATTCACCACTTTCTACATTATACATTAAATTATTCTCTTTTTCTTATTTTTCCTTTTTGAATACGGAAATGAGCGAAGAAGAAACTTGTTAGGAGTTTTTCTTCCTTGACAGAATTTATCACCTTGATGTCACTCATTCCATTGTTGAAAAATAGAAAAGGACTGAGTTGACACATTTGTATATGCGTGTTTTCTTCATCTATAAATCAATTTTATCTTTAATTTTCTTCGTAAAAACCTGCTGATGAAGGAAATACTTGAAATATCGTAAATGAAGCAGTAAAACAATTTTAGATAAAAGTTAATTGTTTGTTAGCGTCATAGAATCCGTATCTGTTTATTATTTATTTTTCTTGTATTCGTCGTGCTTCATAATTTTATCTTCATTGTTCTACATTGAGTCATTTGTATGATGTAATGTAAATGAGGTTCACACAAATGGTAAGGTATATCGTTTAAAGTCATCATGACATATTTGAGTGCGTTTACGGAGATGAATTACTATTAATTATTTAGCGAAAGTTAAATGAATAGCGCTTCTTCTCAGAGTGCCAGATTATGATTTACATCTCTTACAGGTTTTGAACTGATTTTATTTTTATCAGACTACTACAATGCAGCTAATTTTTTGATTTCGTTTTGATTGTTAAAACTTATTCCCTAACATCAATAATCAACAATTGATCTAGAAGTCTCAAATATACCCAAAATACTATAATAAATAAAATTTATTTCCCATTCAAAAGTTTTCATCAGACTTGTTGTCTATCCATGCTAAAAGTTGTCTGAACTGGCGGGTAAAAACACAAACAGGTAGAGATAAAGGGTAATGTGCCGATATTGATGGCACGCTTGGATGATTCTCCTTCCTCCTCTTTCTATTATCGTTCCATTATTCTAATATATATATATATATATATCCTGTCTCTCTTCTATCTCTCTCCTATTGCCGAGAGTGGCGGTAAGCTACGCCACCTCTATCCAGCTTGTCATTAACATATCTACCCAAATCGGGTCCCATATTTATCGTTACAGATAATAAAGCATGGCGATCAATAGTTTATCTTTGTGAAATTATACTGAAGAGTTAACAAAAAAAAAATATATATATATATAAAACTCCCATTATACAAGATTGTTTGACCTGGAAAAAAGAATAATTTTATAAATTGAAATAACAAAACATTAGCCCTTTTTTATTATATATTGAATTGATAGATGATTCATAGCTATCATTCTATATGGACCAAGTTTAGCATTGAGTCAAGTAAATGGATTACACATATAGTTTGCTATTGGTTCATGCGGAGTTATTTGTACACTTTACACAAGTGTTGTAAGATATGATTTAGCAAAACTACCTAAAATAGGTAGAGTCATGGTTAGGGTGGCATGAAAGCCGTCATATCGACTGATGTTACACAAGCAATATTAATGCTGTTGACCTCAATTTTATCAACTATTTTCAGTATTTTTTAAAGCACAATTTACATTCTACTTAATGACGCATAATCTAATTAGGAGTTATTCATGTTGGTGGAATTCAAAAAGTATTCGATATTGCTCTGACTGGTAATCGAATATAATTTGCTAAGTATGTAGATAACAGTTCAAAAAGAGATAATAATTTGATTTTCTAGTGCAACATTTGACTTATCGACTTGATATACAATTTGGAGTGTTGTTATTGGAAGTAGTTGTTATACTATAGCAGTATGTTCATGTGTTCAAACGCAAGTACAGCGATGTATGTGTCTTTAAAATACACGAACAGCACAGAAGTATATTTCTCAAAATAGGAATTTTTTAAATTTTAAATCAATTTAAATCATAGAATTGCCTGGTTGAGCTTTACTTTGTATGTAGCATTTATTGGATTGTGTGGATGTATTATTTACGCTAAATATAATCAATGTGATCATTTACGAACTAAACGTTCTTCTAAACCTGATCAAGTAAGAGAATTTTTCATCTCGGACAAAAGCAAATTTCATGGAATATAATTATTTTTTAGTCATATCCTGTATTTGTACTTGAAACATTGGGACAATATCCAGGCTTAACAGGTCTATTTACTGGTGGTAGTTTGAGTGCATCGTTGAGTACAATTTCAAGTGGAATTAATAGCATGGCAACTGTAATTGTTGAAGATATTTATAAACGAATAATATTTGACCATTCCATGTCCCGTAGAAAACAAGAGTTTGTTTCAAAGATTCGATGTAAGTTTGTGTATGATGAAATATTTATACGAAAATAATAATTTATTTTATTTTGCTATAGCTCTTCTCATTTTATTTTTCGCATTTATTGTATCGTATTTAGTTGATCATGTACCTCTGATTATTTTTCAACTTGCTGGTTCGTTTGTTCCACCAATTCTTGGCATTTATTTACTAGGATTTTTTGCTCCGCAAGTTAATAGTCGAGTGAGTGTATATCGACTAAAACAAAAAATTATATTTTAATCAATTTTTTCCTATCTTTTTGTCATAAAGTGTTCTGGTAGCATTGTTTTTGTGCACAATATTTCAAATATGGATTCTCCTCGGAGTTAGTCTCACAATAAAACAACACATAAATAGAAGTGGAAGATTACCAACACCTATCTATTGCTGTTTTCCAATGATTAATAGTACTCAATCAGTTACTAGACAATCAAGGTATTATCCATGTTTGTTAAATATTATGAACATGAGTTTATTTATGTCTCAGTTCAAATAATCCACTACAACCACTTTATTCAATGTCAATCATGTGGTATTCTTTTAATGGGGTTTTTCTTACTGTTATTTTCGGTTTACTTGCAAAATTTGTATTTGGTAGAATTCGATTTTTGTTTCTAATAAAATAATATTGACATTGATTTAAATATTTAGGTTCAAGCGATCCGAAGACAGTGGATCAATCATTATTGATATCATGGAAAGATTCACTTCTTCCTTATTCATCAAATAAAGTATGAATAGAATTTTAGTTTATAGAAGAAAATATATGCTCGGCTTCATACATTCTCTACGGGTAGAATTTAGCTTTGAAGAATTTCAACTCGAAGTCCATTCTTGAAGAATGACGGTTGTTTCAATTTAGTTCAAATTGACTGTGAGATATTAGCTGATTTTGATCATTATACTCTACTTAAATGAAGAACTATTCTTTTAAACCTGCGAAAATTCATTAGTACACTACGAGATCATTATCGTATGAAGCTGAATAATTCCTAACAATTGAATGTCTCTTGTTTAAAGTTTTGAATTGATCGATCTGGTGGTGTATTTTATAGAAATCTTTGCAGTTGCCAACTGATAACACACATCCAACAGAAATGGAAATCATCGAAACAAAAGACAATACTGTAGTTATATTTTACTGTTGTATTTAATCGAGCAATAAAATAATATGTTGTCCTAATATTGATTCAATCAATCGAAATATCTTGACTGTTTGTTTGTCTATTAGAATCCGTTCAAAAATCTAGGATAATTGCAATAAATCTCGGCAGTTTGCGGCAATTTATTACTAAAATATCGTTAACGAATGTGAAAAGAAAGAAATCTGTGTTGCTGGCAATACTTTTAACTTTAACGACATAAACAAAATGAACGATCATCTTTTATAATGGTCATAAATTCTATGTATGAATTTGATCATTAATCATCCTATGTTTCTTCACCGGTCAAATATTCTTTATCATTTGAAGTTTTAATTTTTATAAATTTTCGACGCATTTGTTGATATATACCAATATTCTTTCTTTGCGTAGATGAAAATGATTCTGCTTGATTATCTATTGTATTCGTAGTATCATTTTCGTCAATATTATCAAGATAAGAACGTGTAATAAATATTTCCATAAGCAATTGTTTTAACGGATCGCACATCGTTAAACATATGATCAATGGAAGAACTATACAACGAAAATTGTATACAAATAGCATACATTGTAGTGATACTAATTGTGAAGTGGTACCACCATTGTCGATGTCATCGACAATATAATGGAAGAAAAGTAAGATTGATTCCGATGCAATGGTACACGATGAAAGTGATAGATAAAATTTTGTGTTAACACTTAAATGATGTAATGCATTTGGCCGTTGAATACGCGTTAAACAAAATTGATGAATAATAATAATCAATAGAATAAGAAGATTTATACTGAATACAAGAAATTCAAACCAATATTGTATAGTATAAAACGAAAAAAATGTTGCATATTCATTGATATTCATGGAACTAGAGCAATATTTAAAAATAATATTTGAATCTAATGAGCTATTATCTAAATCAGCTATTTTGTCAATTGCATCAACGTCATCACTGTTGGATTGGCCGTTGATAGATTGATTTCGTTTGATTAGTAGTAAAACTCTATATAATCGAGTTGAAAATATGAGAATTGTACCAAGAAAAATACAAAGCGAATATAATCTTTGAAATAATAGACGACGATTAGTAAATTGTAAAAGAAAATTTAATAGAATTTTTGTAAATAATCGTTCAATACTAAATAATAATGTTAAATAAAGCTCCATTGGTTTCGCCAATGTTGATAAAAAAGTAATAAAACGACATGTATGAAATGATAAAGTTGGGTCACCTTGAGTATTGATCATATGTGGATGAATATAAAGAGAACACATATTTGATAAACATACTATACATATAAGAAGAAAATGTGATGTACGAGTTGTAAGAAGTGATGATGGTGCACATATAAATAATATAGAAGGAATCAACGAGAACAATATAGCTATAGACCATGTGAATAAATAATTATGAATAAAAACCAAAGATTGTAATTTAGTGATTACAGTGTAGCCAATAATATAGGATTGCTATATGCAAGAAAAATTAAGAAGTATGACTAAAAATCATCTAGTAAGTATTATTTACTTACTGCTGCTACCGAATCCATCGTAGTAGTTTACTTGCTAATGCTTTACTTCTATTTGTATTAATAAGAAAAATAAATAGGTAAGCATATCAATGATCATTTTAATTGAAATGAAACTTGAGACAAACTCAACATGATAGACGAGAGCAAATTTCACATCGTAGATGAGTTGTTTTATCATTATTTAGAGAGTGAATAATAAAGAAGATTACTTTTTTTTTTACAAAGGAGTGTCAATTTGTGCATGTGTTTGAATGATTCAAAAATGTTTTACTCCAATTTTCTGTCTCACAGGACGAATACCTGTTGGAATATCCAATCGCGATTTTTGAAGATTAACATTTGTCTCGAGTCTTAAGCAAAACAAAACAAAACATGATGATTCAGCCTTCCTTTTTTTTGTCTGTTCGATGTTAGATAATTTGAACTCGTTGTCAACACATTATATATACTTTCCGATGCATATTATAAACGAATAATTGATAACCAGAGAAATTTCCCTTGATAATCATTTGGTTACTATTCTGATCAACAAATTTGATCTTTGAAACAGTGTTTTGCCGTATATTTATCTTGATAAAAAAAATTATTTTATCTTTTTTTCCTAGTGAAATTCCTGTTGTTAAATATATTTCAAATGCATTTTCATTTGACTTTCTAATTCTGATAAATATCAATTGTTCTGTAGTGCGAAAAAAGTTCTCTTATTTTTTAACACCGACACGCCTTCTTTTTGCCTTACACTTGTTTTAGCGGTCTGGAGTCCATCGGATCCCTATCTAATAAATAAAAAATGCTAAACTATATGATTACTAATTAACGATGGAGTTAGAATGATTCTGAAAGAGACCTGAGACTAAGAAGAAAAAATAGAGAAGCTAATTTCAATGATGCTTATTCAATTTTTGAGCTTTCTTATTATTCTCTGTTCTCAAACTGTTGGGGATTATATATTGTATATGAAGGTTATTTGCGTATCTTAACAAAAGAAACATTTTTTAATCTACGTTATTCTCTGTTGAAACTCCTGTATTGACAAGAAAAGAATCTGAACAAAATGTTTCCTGTTTTTTTTAGTGTGATTTATTTTCGGATTCGAGCTAAAATTTCAGTAATATGTAATCCAACTGAAAACTTATTGCTTTTAACATGAAGATTTTGTCTAAAGATTGAATACGATTGAATTCCATCAATCGTGAACTATGATATATGTTCCTAGGGTGTGAGGTGTGGGTTTGAGTATCCGTATCAATGCAGAGAAGATACTCATACTCATGCCCACACCCCACACTAACGACAATGACGAATAATTATTGTAGAATGTTATGCAATGAAAATAACAATTCAGAAACATAACAAATTGGTACCATTAAAATTTTAGAATCTCGCGAAAATGTTTCTTTTTAGTAAATGAATAACTTTCTTACAATCAGATGAATAATTTGAAATGGATTTCAAATCAATGGCATCAACTGATTGTATCGGACATAGTAAGAATTTTATGATTCTATGGTTGAATCGTTTTCACTGCTGATCCTAATAGAAAATTTTAAGAAATGATTTAGTTGTCTCGTTTGCAACGCTCTTCAAACAATTTTGAATTAAATTTCATCGCATCAATGTGTTACTTTTACTTCGCCGTGCACTTTTTCCATCAAACTCTTACAATCTCTAGGTAATATTTACTTTGCCGGAGAGTATTTCTTCGGCCAGAATTTTTAAAAAAAACGGAAGAAAGATTATGGAGAAAGAGTAGACAATTATGACTAGAAATCGTTACCATACTGTAAAAGAAAGAAAGAATCATTTGAACAGCACGACACAACGACCTGCGACGCAAAGGAAAACAACTAAACACGTAATAAAATACTTTTAATTTTACCAACAGAACTTCGGCCTCAATTTTTTGATCGTGGTAAGTATATCATTAGAAAGTATCGTTACACTTTGAATCGTAGAGTAATCGTAGGTGTTAAATAGAAATTTACTATTATATTGACAAATATATGGCAACGAGAGTAGACAACTTTTGCTGAACACGGATTCTACTGTAATTGCGGAGAACATCTTATGTTGAGCATGAAAGCCTCGCTAGTATAGCTAAATTTTTCAAAATCCCTCCTCTTTGATCGTCATCTATTAGTTCATCGAAACGAATACGCAAGTGAAATTTCCTATGTATGACTTTCAATGTCATCAAATAATTGCTTATGAGCCAAAACAGCATGTTTTATACTATAGGATGAATCGACGGCGGAAGATTTCACATTCACGAAACAGTATCAGTATTTTTGCCGCCTTGATGTAACTTATAATCAAATGAAAATCGTGATACTAGACTGTTATAGGTTCTTTTTGATATGCAATAGCTAGTCATACATGTTTTGTTCTGTAGAAAAATAAAAGTTTGTATGATAATTCTTTTCATCAAAGGCTCGAAGAAATAACGTTTTCAATATTGAAGAGAAATCGTCAAATATACGAATTTCAGTGCTTTGCGGGCAACTTTCGATATGGAGAGTCCCATATTGTTGTAGCAAAATAGTTATTGTCGAAATTATCATACCGAAAATTTCATCTTACGTAGGATATCTTAGTCTATGATACAAGTATTTCTTGTATTGATTCAATACACGACTGATTCTAACTCAGATTTCGCTGGATCAAAACAGAACTGATTGAGAGCTGCGTGATGGCACTTCTTTTAACTAAAAGTCTTCCGTGGGAACTTTGTAGAATTAAAATGTGAAACACATTGAAGTAGTTGTTGCAGATCGCTTGCAAGCTAGTCGTTTTTAATACATGCTTAGGATTAATTTTGGCATTGTTTGTTCTATAGTATGCAACTCGAACAATGAAGTACTCCATAGGTATTTCAATTAGATCTTAGTTATACACGATCTTTGTTAGCTTATTAAGGCTGTCTAGCATAGTCTCTGACGCGGAATTGGTGATGAAGAAATGTCAGCCATGATGTTTGATGAGGAGAGAGAGGGAAGATAGTGCAAATTTGCTATCCCATATACTTCAACACTCGCTTCGTTTGATGTTCCACAAAATAATCACTTAAAATGCTTTCAAGAAACCAATTAACTACTGATAAAATCAGAAACGAGGATTGGTGTGAATGGTTAATGTGTGGGTAGATGTAGATTATGATGATCTACTCGTATATGTGGGCACACCCGTATCCCCACACACCCACACCCACACCCACACCCACACCCATTAGTAGAGTATCTAGAGCAGGAAGGTAGCAGAGTATATGATCGGATCGCTGAATATTCCAACCTATGGAAACAGCCAATAAATACCGGAAAGACTGTGGTACAGATTTATATTCATAAATTAAAAAGTCCGTAGTAGATATTTATATACTAGTACATAAACTGGAAATAGTAGTCCTTTAATTACCTTGGTTTCTGATGGACAAGTAGACTGTCGTTAAAGTCTACAGTAAATAGATGTCTCGAAACCATTCAAAAGTCGCTGGACAAGCTAAAATGGCTTAGCAGTAGAAAAATCCTGTCTAAGGAGGTACTAAGGACATGTTTTTTCGCCTATACTTTCCCCCATTTCGCATGGAATTTTCCCTTTTTTTCCATTCTCCCCCAAGCACAACAAGAAATACTAAGGAGAAAGTTTAGAGTAGCAATTCGTCTCGTTCATCACGCTCCCTTTATAGCTATAAAAGATCTTTTTTCTTTCACCCACGAAGACACCTTGAACAAGTATGTAGAACGGTACATCTCAAAAAGGTTACAAAGTATATACTCATCCGCCTTAGGAGCTTTTCTTTTCTTAGAAGACATCTTTTTTTGGGATATTTATCGCAAACAAATTAAGGACGGAGTAGAACACTTCTTCTCCATGAAAAGAGTTAAGAGGCTAAAGGCGAAACGCCAGACATTACTTATTATCTGGCTAGACTTTGTTAATAAACAGCTTTAGAAGATCAATAGAAGTCGGGAATGCGGTTCGTAAGACAATCTCCCCCAACCCCTCCTTCATGGAACCGTTACCCAATAATCTTCTAAACACATCTAAATCGAATGTTTTAAGGATCGAGTAGACCCCTACATCATGCTTTCATCCATTATTCCTTTTGATGATCTTTAATTCTAGTTTATATTCTGGTGTATTATTTCCTTTTTCCCTTTCTTTCTTTTCTTCTCGTTTCCCTGGTGTTTATTTATTTCTGACTTCTTGTCTTTCTATCAATCTATTACCTATTTTCCCCCTTCCTTTACTTATTCTCATCATTATTGATTGTAAGCACTCCAGATGGTTACAATAAAAGAAGAGTATAAACCAAAACAAAAAATAGTACATATATGCCTTTTTTTACTTGATTACAGATTCAATATCTTTCATCATATTAAACATAATAATAAAAGATAACATTTGTTTTCCTCACCCGCATCAAAACAAACCAAATGTGCATCTACCAGGCACAAAAACTATCCGCCAACTTCAACAAATAGATGCAAAAACATCTTATGATCTTATAGTTGTACTATTTGCATGTCATTGAATATGTAATTCATGGTGAGTATGATGACATGGGATGTTTTCAGTATTAAAAGTGAGCAAATGAGTTCATTTTTTGTGAGTACTCTTGCCAATGTCAGATTTAGTTGAAAAGACATCCGTGTATATGTTGTATTTCATGTACAGTGATCGACAGAAGAACTTTGACACAATATATACATTTACTCTTTTGGCTTTTTCAAAGAGGAGTTGGAAGTCCCTCTGCGTTACAAAGAATTATTAATGATCTATAGCAAGAAGATACAATATGTTTTGGTCTCACAACATATTCAACTGTACTCCAGAAAAATTATTTGGCTTCAACGTCTACTTATTTCTAGAATTAGAGTAGAAAATCTGTTACATTTTATCAATCTCATTCCCATTCAAGGTGAAAAATATTTTGAAATTAATATTTTATCAAAATATTACTATTGTTTGTTTTATCTGATCGAATACAATAAAAATAGAGTACTGATGATTCATGACTTCTGTAATATTTTTCTTAGATTTTGTTGATTTATTCTGTCTGCGTTTCCAAATAGAATATATCACATATGACCAAAGCAGCACAGTCGGGTGAGAAATCCCGCTTTACCGATTTTTACAGTGAGCCTGTGGATCAACTTTTATCACCCATCAAAGGATATCAGGATAAACCATTGGTTTCATTGACAGAAGCTGTTGAGCCAGTATCTGAATTTTTTAATGAAATCGAAGATAACGTTTTGGTCGCATTACACAATTGTCAACATCCACCTGATGGACTAACTCAACAAGAATCAGCCTCCATACATTTATACACAATGCAATTCGATGGATGCCCAAGTTTACATATATTACTCAATAAAGCGCTGCGCACTGCAAGTCGTCATGCATTGAAGCCATGGTTCTCGTATCTTAAATTATTTTTGACGGCTCTATACAAACTCCCATCACAGAGTAGGAGGGTCTGGCGTGGTATTCAAGGTGTTAATTTAACCTCAACATACAAAATTGGTACGAAATTCGCTTGGTGGGGAGTAAGCTCCTGTACTGCTGACATGGAAGTACTCGAATCCGCTCAATTTTTGGGTAAGCACGGGCAACGCACTCTCTTTTCCATTGAATGTGTCAATGGAATATCTGTTGTTAAACATTCGTACTTCAAATATGCGGAAAACGAAATCATTCTTATGCCTGGTTCTTATTTTGAAGTCTTGGGTCAATTGAATCCTGCACCAGAACTTCATATAATTGAATTAAAAGAAATTACACCACCGATGACACTTATAAAGCCACCATTTTCGAAATCAGACGATCGAAAGGCTTCTCCTGTTACTGGGAAAGCAAGTTACTCTTCTCCAGCAGCTCCAGCAGCGTTAGTAAGAGCTGGAATAAATTCTAGCAATAGTGCTTCAAATAAAACTACATCAATGACACTGGGTATGAACTATATGTTTTAGGTTTAGTGTTTATCCTTTCGATCTATCCTCTTATTTTTTCAACAATAGTAGAAGATACAGGAAGTTATACAAAGAAAAGAATTATATGATACGTTGAAACACGTAAGATATTGAGATGAAAATCAATTTTGATCGTCAACAAATAAGTAATGACTATCTTTTTTAAATCAATAATGAGAGATATGAATTTAAACATATTCTTGGTTTCACCAGCTTAACCACATTATATCGTATGTTTGATTATGAGTGTATAAATAGAAAAACAAATTCTATACTTTCAGAGAGCATTTGAAATATGATTAAATAAGGTAAGAAAAAATCATGGATCTATTCATTTTTGCTTGTTCGAATTCGGAAAGTAAAAAGGAAATAGAACTTTTGTACTTCCGCTAGAATTCTTGCCGGCATGTCGCTATTATTTTCAAATATAGTAGACTGATTTAAAACATTTCGACAAAAATAATTAATATTAATCGAGGTCGAACAAGCAGGATTGTATACGAAGAAATATGACTGGATATATGTCTTAGTATTACAGCAAAATGCGATGGTATATGATCTGAAACGATAGTACACACTGAAAAAAAAGGTGCCATACCGAACTTTTTTTGAAACGAATTCTAAACCTTGCAATAGGTTTCGTAAAAACCCATGACCCCTTGAAACTGCTTGTTATTGATTGACGAGTATTTTATGCAAGTTTCGTAGAGCTTTTCATGGTTTCATACGAAACTTATAAAAATTTAGAATTCGTTTCAAAATTCGAAACCTTTACAAGTTCCGTACATCTCACGAAACCTTTTTTTACTTCGCGAAACCTTTTTTTTCTCTACTAAACCTGCTCAGGTTCCGTATGGCACCTTTTTTTCCAGTACACGGACCGTTTCTTTCCTTATACGAACTTGCTGAAGCTCTTCCTGGAAACATACATACCACGTCATATAAATCGAACAGTGAACGGCCGTAAACGATGATAATACGGTAGAATACGATCACCATTACTACTAAACATGTATCAAACTCGAGCACAACTTCGAGTTTCGATACCGAGTTTTGCAAGATTGACCTCGGTTTGGACTCGAGTTCAAACTTCGAGTCGAGCTCGGCATTATCGAGTTCAAACGGTTTGGGTTTGGTCCATATCTAATTACGACTGAACGTTTACTAATACCCAAGCAGACGAACATTTGGAAAAACGCTTTGAAGCACTCAAACTGGAATCGCGATTGTGATTCATTAATGCGGTTTTTACGCAGAATCTGCACGTTCCGAGAATGAAAACGGATAGAAGCTCCAATTCTTAGCGCTGAAGCTCATTAGCTTTTGAATTATCGAATAATTGTGCACTTCCACGCTAAGGATTGTAGTTTTTATCCGTTTTCACGCTGAGTACATGAAGATTCTGCGTAAAAACTACGTTTCTTGTGCTTTGTTAACGAGCACCTATGAGTCAATATCGTGGTTACTGTTTGAGTGCTTAAACGCGTTTTTCCAAATGTTCGTCTGCTTGGGTAGTCATCTGCGATATAGCAACGGTACAATACGGTGACTTCCACGAGTACAGTTCACGGACCACCGTAAACTGCAACTTAGTGGTCAGCGTAAACGTTAGGGACTTCAGCTCGGTCAGCGGAAAGACGTCATATGGAATGAAGAGAGATTTCAAGATGTAAAGCGACTTTTCTATTTGTTTCTACAGAAAAAAATAGAAAATCTCTACATTTGTCATAGAGTAAACGAAATAAGTGTTACGGTGCAAAAGACCGACTTTAATGACTCTTAAGAAAACTGTAAAAGCATGGAAAAAGAAAAAGTTTGCTTTAACCCAGATGTTCATTCAATTGAAAACATAAGTTTAAGAGGTATTTCGAATTTTCAGTACTTTTATTTTCTTTATTTTTCTTCATTATTTTGAAACAAAGACCGCTTCTCGATGGCAAGTATTATTCATTTTAAAGAACGATTTTTATTTAAGTAGTTGAGATTCCACAAAAGTTTCAATTGCGTAAGATCATTGACTTCAAGAAAAATAATCTTCTAATTTATGGCTAGAATCGGAAGAAGGCATTTGAGAATATGTATTTAATTAATAATTTTTTTAAATTTATATAAAATCCTAAGAAATACCAAATACAGGCAAACTAACATTTGTTCAACTTAATAATTTCTTTCATTATATAGAAAACTGAAACCATATTCTATATGATGGCTATTTGTTTCTTTCAACAATGTTTTATTCCACTAAAGTCAAAAGGAAACACTTTGAGTTTAGCATTTTACATTAAGAAAATTATTTAGTTAAAATAAAAACATTTTAAACCGCGAGTATTAATTTGTTCATAAAGTAATTCAATAATCGTCGATTTAGAGATCTTTATAAATGCTTAAGACAGCTCATCAAATCTGGAAACGAGACGTATACTGAGAGCAGAGTTAAATGAGAAAAATTGCATGTTTACTGGCATAAACGATATGAAATACTATCCGTATGCAATGGCTGACATCAGCCGTTAACAGCCGTTTACCTCACCGTCTATAATATTGGTAAATACAGATGTGTAACTGTCTGTGTTAAAATGAGGTAATACGCACCGTTTATGAACCTTATTTTCATCGTAAATGATCGTAATTGCCGCGTATCCTCGTCGTTTTCTGCCTCAATAGATGCTCTAATGGTCTCCGTTTTAGTCAACCTGGGTAACTATTGTAACGGAAAAAGAGAAGAAGTTTAACTCTACCGTTATAAGCGGCATTGATGGTAGTCGAGCTACTTCATTCTAAATCGCTATGACAAATGGAGAGGCATAGTTTAGTGTTTTACTACACGATGTTTATTCAACTATACTCTACATCCAAGCGTATCCATCTAATACAAAACACACGCTTATATACGCGCTACCACAAAAGAAGAGAACAGAGAGAGAAGAAAATACATAGAGACAAAAGTTATTCAGAGAGAATGTGACACGGAGAAAGAGAAAGGTATCTAGAGAGAAAAGATACACAGAAAGGTTACGCACTGTTCAGTGGACGATTATGTGTTACGTCACTGCAGTATGTTCATCATCTCTATGACTTACACGTGGACGTCCGGCGGTTCATATAACCCCTATCTAATATAGTCCTTTACGCGGACGTACTTCTTGGCACACCTAGGCAACCCATAAAGGGTTTCCGAGCATTTTCCAAAATACGTAGATCTCTTACTCCGCATCATTAAAGTAACCCTTAAATAAGCCGCACATACTTACAAGCATACCCCACCACTCCGAAATATTGATTCATATCCTCAAACATCTAAACACAAAAAATGGCTCGTTTTCATTTAAGCTAAATCAATGTATTTACCTGACAGTTAAAATTGATACTGCTGAAGGTCTCAATATAGAAAGAAAATCATTAAATAATTTTTTTCCGAAATGAATGCACTATGAATAAGTGATCGACTTGATATTTAGTGCCTGGAGAAGGAAAAAGTTGTTTGAATTGGTTGTAATTTAGAATTGGTTTCTTACCGAACTTGAAGCCTAATAGGTGTGTAGGTTTGAACAAAAATAGTGAACAAATATTGAGTTAGATGATTTTTTTCGGATTTTGTATTTATAAACGGAAAGGAATGTGGGAAATATCTTTTATGAAGATAAAATAAAACTTTTTTTGGAGGAATATGAGTGAAACAGTAATAAAATTGAGCTTCCCAGGCGAGAAATCAGACAGCAAGATCGGTCACAGATTCTGATCCGATCGTATCGGATCTTACATCATTATCGTATAGGATCATGTAAGATCCGACGAAAAATCATCGTCTCTTAAATCTTACATCAATAATTACGGTAAGATTCTTGTATGATTCATCAATAAGATCTGACAAAGATTCTTGTATGATTCATCAATAAGATCTGACAAAGATTCTTGTATGATTCATCAATAAGATCTGACAAAGATTCTGAATCTGATCTTGAGTGATCTTACAAGATCGTACGAAAAATCGTACAGAAAATCGTGGTTCATGAAATCTTAAAGTACTTCTTATTACAAGATTCTGACTAGATCTTGATTTTTTGCAAGATCATGCAAGTATCTTATAATATAATTACTACAAGATTTCAGAAACGACGATTTTTTGTATGATTTCATCTAGTCATACAAGATCTTACGTCTGACTTTTTGACCTGGGTTGCAAAAATCGGTGCCATTAGTGATTGCATAGTTCTATATGCCAACGAAGAATTAAGTTAACCTGACTTCACTAGGAAGAATTTTATTTTTGAAGGAAATATACATTCCAAAAAGCTGGACCACAGCGTTAACGATTAAAACGAAAAACGAAAAACACCTAACTTAATGGAAAAAGGAGGCTCGGAAAACAATCTATAACGCAAAGAATACTCTCAAACAGAGAGAAAAAACTAGAGAACTTTACTCTTCAACCTCCATAGATCTCCTAAATAATAATAAAAACGGCTTTTAAAAACTATTTGAGCTATATACTTGGAACAGAATTTCTACTATTTGTTACGAGAGGTAGTAGAAGAAGGACGATTTTCAAACGGGAATAAGGCTTAGACGTAAAACGAAATTATCTGTATGTCGAAACATATAGTAGAAAAAAAACGACTTTTTGAAGTATGATATGTGCGGGAATCAATTCTAAGGTGTTTTTGTTTTTGCTGTAACTGAGCGGTATTTATTGCTTTAGGCCTGATTCCTTCACCTTTAAATAGGTCGTATTATGGACTATGTAGCCTGAAAACATTTTCAACATCACATGTGTTTTGGATTGTTTATCAGATAAACGGTTTTTTCCCAGCCCACATAATATCAAGACACTTTTTAGTATTTCCTATTTATTTAATGAACAATTTCAGTTAAAAATAGTGAAAGAAACATCAGTCGGCGAAGAATTTTATGCTCTACATTTTGAAAAACGATTTTTACCCATTAAAATTTTGTTTTTCTTCGTGTCAGCGAAGAATGTAAATGCAAAATGATTTATGTAA